GTTGAATATTTGTTTAGGTCAGCGGTGCATATCTCATATTTATTGGGTTATTTTGAGATTATTTATTTAGGTTGCTGAGAATTCATACTACCTAATAACAAACATAAATTTAGATCTAACCATACGGTTTGATGTTTAAATCTAAATCGTACAAGCAGCTTCCGAAGTCTAGCCGTTTCTGGGACTTTCTCGATATTGGAGCAGAAGTTCCTCCACGAGTTTCTTTGTGCCCTGCGTATTTCCTTCTTGTACTCCCTGAGTAGGATTTTGTATTCCTCATTGATTATCTCCTCGTTCGCCTGTTTGGCGATTTTGAAGAATACTTTGAGGTTGTTTCTTTGAAGCGATAAGTATCGGTTCCACCAGAGTGGTTTAACTTTTCCCAGTTTGTGTTCCGGGGGTTTCTATAAACAGTTATCTTCGGAGAGTGTTTAAATTCGCACTTGAATTGAATGTACTTGTGGAAGGATGGTCTTTCGAGAGTCCTTGAAAGCCAGATACCAAAGTACTCTTTCCCGTTACGAGTGTTAGATCTAGTACGTTGGACGAGGTGGGACCTACGAAGGTGAGTTCCTCCCCTACGTTTGCTACATCTAGGTTAGTTGATAGTATGAAGTCTAGAAGTGACTCACCTCTGTCGTTGATGTCGGGGCTTCCCCACACGCTATGGTGGGCATTGGCGTCCATACCAACCAGAAGTTGCTGGTCTTTCGGGCTGGCATCCGCCACCAGACTCCTTAGCTCTTCCGGTGGAGCAGGCTTGTCGTGTGCCTTATAGCAGGAAGCTACCATAAGGTGCTTTTCCTCGCTTTCTAGCATCACAGCAGTCAGGTCATCAGTGCTGTAATGAGACAAAAGGTAAGCATGGATGCCCTTCCGTACGAGTACGGCGGTTCTGGTCCTGCATACCGATGGTGAGTGGAAAAGGTTGTAGTTAGAGGACTTTAGTCCGGCCACAGCGTTGCCAGAGGCAATCCATGGCTCCTGGACCAAAGCTATGTCGACGGGCCCTTGCTCCATGGCGATGAGGAGCTCCGTCGACGCGAGCTTGCTTTTATGTAGGTTGAGCTGCAGCACCCTCACTGACATGGGAGGCTGGCTCAACTACACTCGACCGGTTGACTATTATTGTCAGGTCTCCGTCCTCCTCCTCTTCGGAGTCGTCCAGCGCCATACACTGAGCGGCCTCCACGATGGACTCCAGACCGAGGTCCTTCTCCACCTCGCCTGCCTGCAGGATGTGCGTGTCCTTGTCTTCGGGGTGGCGCTTTTTGAGGCGGAGGTATACGCTACCCATGCCCCACGCCATCTTCCCGAATCTGGGGTACAGCAGGTCCTCTGCCTCCTTGCTGATTTGGAGGATCGCACTCTGGGCCCCGTTGGGTAGTGGGCTCCCAATGTGCAAGATCCTCCAGTTCGCCGTTGGCACGTCTGGGTTCTGCCGCTGTAGCAGCCTCAGCGCACGGTCTCCTTGGATTGCGATGGGGAAGATTAACTTCGCCTTTGGTATGGACGGGATTAGCTCCCTGTCCACAACCTCCAGTCTGGCTCCTCCCACATCGCCTCCATTTGGCAGACCGTTTGCGTCAGCCACTTGAGTGTGGGGTCGTCCATACATTTCAGTATTTTGACCCCGTTAAGCCACCCAGCCCATCGAACGTGGGCATGGGGGCTGTTGGGTCCTCCTCCATTCTTCCGAATAGCGACTCTACGAGCTGCGCGTGCACCATCTTCCACCGCGCCTCCGTCATCTTGCCATTCTCATCGCTCCATCAATGAGTGCAACGATCAGGTGTCGTTTGGTTACCTCATTGACCTTCGCCTTGGATTTGTGCTTCTTTGCCGTTTTGGGTGGAGGTCCCACACCCTTGGTCCCGCGTTGCCGCTTGCTCGCCGGAGTGTCCTTACTGGCGCTCTCGGTTGAGCGTTGCCTTTTGGTGGCGAGAATCCCCTCCACCTTGTTGGCAAATTCCCCCTTCGTCGCTTTCATTTGCGGCATTTGTGCAAAGTGTAGGCGGCCCTCCTCTACCTTCTGCTCGGCCCAGGCTAGCTTGGACTTTCCTCCTCTTGCCAAGATCTCCTCTTGGGAGATGTCTTCTCTGCCTTGGAGCCGGCTTCGGATTTTGAACGCTGCCTTATATTGGGCCTTAGCCTTCATCCCCTCCCTAGAACGCTTCGGCCCTTCCCTACGCAGGGAGCTGGAACCTGGTTCAGGCGAGCGGAGAAGGCTTTCTTCATCCGTCTTGCTGACCGAGAGCACGCTCTCCAGGTCCGAGTCTGTCTCGACTAAGGCACCTGTGCGGCTCAGCTTGGAGTGAGTCCGTTTTGTGGCAGTAGCATTGCAACTGACATGACCTGCTCCCGCCATATCAGAGGTGTGACCGCTGGCGACACGCAGAGAGGATTGCTCCTCCCCGTGCCCGCCGGTGGTAGCAGTCACGCTTTCCACCGACGTTTGGGTTGACATCCCAACCCGTGTTTGACCGTCTGTCCGCTCCATACTAGGCCCGAAGGTCCGTACGTAGTTGATGTTTATCGGGGGAACCACCCCCTAGCGTTTTATGCCTACCCGCCAGGCACCTCCAGCCATGGCCATGGTTCAGTTCCCCCAATTTTTGGTCGGGAGGACCTGGACCCGGCCTTGGCTAGACACTGCATTACCCCGGACAGAGCAAGCGACAGTGCATTACCCGATCCGGGATAATATGCTGCCCTAATACATATATACATTATGGGGCCGGAAAAGTTTCCTTCTCTGCGTTGCAAGCATCCACTTTTACCACAAATCTAATATACCCCTTAACTCTTTTTTGAGTAATAAATACGCGCTCTCAGCACGAATAAATAAACAAATACTTAAATACATGTTACAGAGCAAATTGGGTTGATGTCTTTTCCTTTTATTTCCGCATTTGGTTTTGTAAATAACTAACATATAATCACAAGTGGTCCTAACATTTAGCATCCACTTAAAATTATATTGCACATTAAAATAATATAATTATTGTATTAACACAAAATCCATATATACAAACATATACATACCACTCCATATCTACATACCACTCTATATCTACATACCACTCTCGACATCTACATACCTACCACTGTCCGCACATACAGTCCGCTCATAAAGGGCATATATTTAATAATAAATTCTGGGATTCCGAGCAATTTACGCGTTCCAGCCCTACCTTTCGGTCGCCACAATAAAGAATATTATCTCCAAATCCGTGCTAAATTATCCTCAACCCACAACGCCTTTCCGTAGCTATTTCGCATTTTTTTCTGTGAATATTTTCCAATTGTGTGTTCGTGGGACGGAGAGAAACTAGTGGTGACAAAATTAGAAAACTATCCGTACCACCGACGAAGCAATCACGCAGTTAATTTCCTGACTCCAAATCTCGTGTTCTTGTCTCAGATCGGCTCTACTATCGCCAAGGCATAACAAAGGAGCAAGAAATCGAGAAAAAATTCCGTCTGCAATCCATCCGCACAAAACAAGCAAAATAATTTGCCCACTGCACAAGTCCGTCAAAAGGTAAAAGGAGGAACGCCGTACTAACAATATTTCCTTGAATATTTCCACAGCCAGTGTGACAGTTCCTCTCCTCAGTGTGCATCAATTTAATTCACTCATTTTTTGGGAACCTCGATCAAGAGCGACCTCAAATCATCCGAGTTGGTAATAAAAATTGTTTTCCAGCAAGGCGCGAGGCCCTTTTCTCTTCCATTTACCAGAACCAGTGGGTTCTTTTTTGTGTGTGTTTAAGGGATTTATTGCCTTCGTGTGTGGTGCCCAGCCAAACCCAAGGTTGTTCCGTTCGCCAATCCGCGGATCCCGCATCCGCCTTCGCCTTCAAATCCTGTGTGTGTGAGTGCGTAGTATGCCAACGGGTGACAAGGACAGCAAAGGGTTTTTGGCTGTGACCTCTCCACGTCGGCTACGCACCTCTTCCGCCTCAGGAACTACTCCAACTCAGAAGATCAAGTCGCCAGTCACTCCCAGGGCAGCCAGTAGCGGTCGGTTCTCTTCCCGTCTCCCGTCACAGATCCTCAGTATGTGGGCGGATGTCGAGGCGGAGTATAAGGCGTGCTCCGCAGTGATGGTTGACGAGGATCCTGGAATACAAGAAGACATCCGAGGGAAAACTAGCGAGCGTTATGGGTTCTACTTAGAAGTGCCTGCGCTGACCTCAATGCTCAGCTAGCCCAAACATCAGACCATCCGTCTGCACCGCAAACCTACCAGGGCGGCTGTCCTCTGCCTCCCTGCGACATTGAGGTCTTCGCAGGAGATTACGTCCGCTGGCCTACTTTCCAGGACTTATTTACGGCAATCTACATACATAATTCTAGGTTGTCCCCGGTAGAGAAGTTATACTATCTCACCGCTAAGACAAGTGGCGATCCTAAGTCCATAGTCGAAAAGTCCCAGCTCACCAACGATGGTTTCGAATCGGCATGGTCGGCCCTCCGAACCGTAATGAAAATAATCGGCTCCTGGTGACCAACCAGATAAATATTTTGCTCTTATTGCTTCGCGTCGAGTCGGAAACCAGTCGGGCATTGAAAGAGCTGCAAAGCACGATGCAAGGGGTCCTCACCGCCCTTGCTCACTCTAAGGTCTGCACCGACAACTGGGATAGCCTCCTCGTTACGATCTGTGCCTCCAAGTTGCCGAAGTTGACCCGGTCCCTGTGGGAGGCGTCCGTCACAGACAAGAAGGAGGTGCCTCAATGGGCGGAAATCGACGCCTTCCTCACTCAGCGCTATTTGACGCTAGAAGCCCGGAGCGACCCGTCCACGTCCAAAGGCAATCCGAGCCTATTACCGTCCAAAGATACCCAGAATCCGCAGCCCTCCGGAAGCAATTCCAATCCGTTCCGGTCTCATGGCAGTCCCGTTCCAAGGAAGTTTTACTCCAAGTGAGCCCGAAGAGCAGAACGTGCGATCTCTGTTCCAAAGAGAATCACCCGATTCGACTATGTCCGACTATGACCGGGGATGCACGTGCCAGCTGCATTAAAAAGAGGCAGCTGTGCTTGAACTGTTTCGCCAGAGGTCATCAGCTCCGCGAATGCCAAAGCGCCCACAGTTGCTTCACTTGTGGATCCCGCCACCACACGCTTCTGCATTTTGGTACTCCAGCTTCCAGCGAATCGACATCCACCACAGCGGAGAATACCGCTTCCTCCGTCGCTCCACCCAACGTTCAGAATTATTTTGCCTCAGGAACAAGGGCTGTGCTTCTCGGCACTGCTATAATCAACATTTGCCACCTGGGGACAAATTTCCTTGCCCCGTGCTCTGATCGACTCAGGCTCCGAGGCGACGTTCATTACGGAACGTCTCTTTAATATCATCCAGTTGCCATTCAGCCTTATTCAGGCCTAGTTTTCAGCCCTAAATCAGACTGTAGCAGCTCAATCCAAGAAGCTCTGTGATTTGTCCATTCGCTCCCTGATTACGCCCAGCGTACAATTAAATGCCACGGCCTACGTCCTGCCAGACATAGCCGGCAATCTCCCTTCATATCCGGTCCCGCAAAGTGCGCTGCGAGACTTGCCGAACCTGCCTCTACATTCTATGAGAGCTCACAGATAGATGTTCTGATCGGTGTCGACAAATTGTATCTTTCTCCACCCAAATTTCCCACGTCCGCGACGCTCCATTGGACAAACTTCTCACAAAGTTTTGGGAGGTGGAGGATCTACCTATCAAGGTAGTAGGAGAGTCGGACTCCTATTGCGAAAGCAATTTTCTTCGAACCACGTCAAGAACGTCAAGCGGCAAGTACGTGGTCACACTACCGTTTCGTGACCCCGATCACTGTGGGGCAGGCTTGGGGCATTCAAGGTCCATTGCCCTAGCTCAATTGCTCCGAAATGAGAATCGGCTAAAGAGAGATATTCCCTTTCATGAGCAGTATAACTCTGTGATCTATGAATACTAAGAGCTCGACCATATGACTGAGGTTCCCTCCACTTACGATTCCGCCAATTATTATCTCCCGCACCATGCGGTGGTCAAGCCTGAGTGCACTACCACGTGGTCTTCAACGCGTCCAGCCCTTAGGCGAACGGCACTAGCTTGAATGATCTTCTTCATGCTGGTCCGGTCCTCCAATCCGATTTAACTCTCCAAATCCTGAAGTGGCGTTAATTCCGATACTTCTTTAACGTTGACATTACAAAGATGTATCGCCAGATCGCCTTTCAGCGAATATTATTTCGAAAACAGGAGGGGGAGATTCGGGATTACGAACTGAAAACCGTAACCTTTGGGGTAAATTGCGCTCCGTTTTTAGCCATTCGGGACCCTCGGAATTCGTTGGAAGGCAACGTCCGATGAGTTCTTCTTTCTTCCTCCCGTGTTAACGCTCGAGTCATCCTACACCAAACGCGAAGCTGTTTGCCCCGCGGGGTGGCTGGTTGAGATCTGGTTGCAAGAGTTGGGATGGGACGAACATCTCCCAAATGCGTTGTATCAGCGCTGGCTAGACTTTCTGCAAAGTCACGCTTTTCTTCCCCAGATCAAGATTCCAAGATGGATTGGCGCCCAGCCACCGGTAAAGATCGATCATCACGGTTTCTGCGATGCATCTGAAAAGGCGTACGGTGCCGCGATCTACGTGCGCGTCGAGTGTGACCAGCATATTACGGTGAATCTGTTGTCGGCGAAAGCACGAGTTGCTCCCGTGAAAGCCGTTTCGGTTCCCCGATTAGAGCTGTGCGGTGCAGTACTCCTTTCCGAAATGGCGACGGCTATCCTGCCAAGCATGCCGACGGAAAGTCCTCAATGTTATTACTGGACCGATTCTACGATTGTACTGGCTTGGTTGAACAAGCCCGCTTGCCACTGGACTACCTTTGTGGCCAATCGAGTGACCAAAATAGCTCAAACTACCGGAACCAAGGATTGGGCTCATGTCCGTTCCGAACATAACCCCGCTGACTTAGCCAGTAGAGGCGTAGCTCTGCAGGAACTGGTAGATAACCAACTCTGGTGGCATGGGCCAGCTTGGTTGCAATCTCCACGTGATCAATGGCCGACCCAAGCCGATGCAGCTCCAATTATGACCCTAGAGCAGAGGTCCGTAAAGGTCCATTTTGTTCCCAGCCCATCCAAAGATTTCCTGGATCGATTCTCCCAGCTTGAGCGGGCTCTACGAGGGCGGGCGTATGTTCTACGTTTTATTCAGTGTTGTCGGAAGGTAGCACCCGCAGGTGGGGACCCCCTCTCTAGCGCGGAAATAAACGAAGCGGAACGACCGTGTCACAGCTTCTCAAGATCTGAAGTATGACGAGCGTCATCCAATCATCCTTTCCTATAGTTGCCGCCTGTCTCGCTTGCTGGATCACTTCACGCACAGATTAACTCTCCATGGCGGCAATCAACTGATGACTCGCCTAATTCGTTGCAAGTATTGGATTCCGAGGATCCGGAACCTGAAAAAGGGTGTGGTGAACTCATGCAAAGTGTGTATCGTCCACAAGAAGAAGTTACAGACCCAACTGATGGGTGCTCTCCCGACAGATCGAACTTCTTTCTCCAGACCGTTAACCCATACCGGGATTGATTACGTTGGTCCTTTTGACATAAAGAATTATACCGGGAGAGCTTGCCTGATCCCTAAAGGTTATGTGTGCGCATTTGTATGTTTTTCCACAAAGGCTATTCACTTGGAGGCCACTTCCGACCTGACCACCGAGAAATTTCTAGCCGCCTTCGCTCGTTTCAGCAACTGTCCGTTCTCGGGACTTCCTCGAGGCGTTCCAGGGCTCGGTGACTGATGCATATAGCCATCAGCGGGTTTCATGGAGGTTCATCCCGCCAGAAGCTCCACACATGGGAAGCCGGCGTAAAGAGTTTTAAAACGCTCTTCTACAAAGTCACGTCGACCCGGAAATATACATTTGAAGAGCTTTCGACGCATTTCGCGAAGATTGAAGCATGCTTTATTTCCAGGCGCCTCTCACCCATGTCCGAAAATCCAACGGAGTTGCTGGCCCTTACTCCCGTGCACTTCCTTATTGGAGCACCGTTAATGGCGACAGCAGAGCCCGAAATAAAGAAGAACCCCCAGTCGATCATTAATCGGTGGCAGCATTTGAAGGCCCTCAACCAGCAGTTCTGCCAGTGGTGAAAAGATGAGTACCTCAAGGAACTCCACAAGCGCAACAAGTGGCAGACAGCGATGGCAAATCTTCAGATCAGCGATATGGTTATCGTCAAAGAAGATAACCTGCCCTCTAACGACTGGCGACTCGGTAGAGTACATTCCGTGTATCCCGGCGCCGACAATAGGGTCCGGGTGGTAGACATTCTTAGAGCCCGCGGTGTCCTCAAACGCCCGGTCGCAAAAGTCGTTTTTCTTCCGGTAGAACTCCCTCATTTCGTACAACAGTAACGGAAGGCGTTCCCATTAATAATGCCTTTCCTTGTATACTATTTCATCCACGTTATGTTTTTTTTTTTGTTTCGCATCCAAAACGCCCTCGTTTGTTCGTCCAACAGTACTTAGAGTGTGCCTGGCACGTTACTAATGCGTCTCCGATTCTTCTTTTCCAAACCAGTTATTTCGCATCCAGATCCAGATGGCTCCACGATCCCGTGACAACCACACCTCAGGGAGCCAACGTTCCCGAGGAAAAATTGCTTACCGCTGCCTCCTTTACTACGGAAGCCATCCACTTCGGGACTGCCGCAGTTTCCTCAAGCTGACCGTGGCGAAGAGGCTCCGAGCCGTGCTGGTCAACAAATATCGTCGGAACTGCCTGGCTCACCAGCAATCCGGCAAGGACTGCCGAAGGGGGGGCCGGTGCAAGGTGTGCCACAAGAACCACCACACGGCCAGATCGGAGTCGGCTGCTCCGGCTCCCGTTCCGTCTCCAGCTCCGGTGTCCCAAACCAATCGCCGCCCCCGGCTCCCCGCAAGACTTCCCCTCGTGGGAAATCCTGCTCCATCGGTCAACACTCTTTTCAAGCACCGAAGCATAAACTTCCTCCCGACGGCCCAGGTGATCTTGGATACGTGCGCCAAAACCCACGAGACAACGGCGATTATCGACCCATGCACGCCAGTGAGCTGCATTGATGCTTCCTTGGCCGCCGAATTCAAATTGCCCAGCACGCGCATTTTTTATATTGTCTGGACGTTGATATGCAATGACTGCACCATCAAGTGGACCATGCGACACCAAGCTGAAGCCTGTTACGCGCGGAACCCAGGCAGAAACGCAGCCCCTCCTCCCGCCCAACCGACCGAGGGGCGCTGCCGCATGACGCGCGACGCGTGTTACCGAACCGATCGCGAGCATGCAGGAAAGATAGGTGTTAGACTAAAATTCGAGGAAATTAGAGCTAAACACAACTCAAAGAGCTAAACATGCAAAGATAGCTAAGAAATAGTGATTAGTGATTTAAGAAGAGGAAGGGAATTAGTAGTTGATATTATGTGGTAGAGGGAATTGAAGTCCGAGCGAAGTACCCTAAATGGTTCGTGCAAGGAATAATTCGATCTACAAAGCGGAAGGAACAAAGGTATGAAGTTTCTAGTAGATCTAATAGGAATCGTAAAGTTTATGCGGCTCAACAAGTCAGGGCTATCTACGTCACCCTTGATCAGGTTGTGCATAAAAATCACACCAAGCATTTTTCTACGACTAACTAAGGTTGGAAGGTTTATTAAAAGCAATCTACGAGGATAAGATGGCAGTCCCAGTTAAGGCCACGCAGAGCAAAATGTAAAAAGTTTTTCTGGACTGATTCTATACGGTCCTGGTGTACTTTGTACTGGGGGCACCATACACAAGAGCCGTACTCTAAAATCGGACGAACAAGCGAGATGTAGAGAGTCTTCGTTATATAGGGGTCGTCAAATTCCTTTGACCACCTCTTTATAAACCCAAGCACACCCATGGCCTTATTTACCATGGTAGAAATGTGTTCAGAAAACTTTAACTTTGGGTCTAATTTAACACCAAGATCATCAACCAAGGTAATTCTCTCAAGAGAACCACCGCAGAGGCTATAAGAAGCCAAAAGGGGGCTGGAGCGATGAAATGTCATTACTTTGCATTTCGAGGCATTTAGGTGTAACATATTTGCACAACACCATGATTGAAAGTTATTTAGATCGGATTGCAAGCGAGTGTGAAATGAAATGTACTTATACTGGACACAAAGTTTAACATCATCCGCATACATGAGTACTCGAGAGTATGTTAATACTGAAGGCAGATCATTAATAAAGAGTGTGAATAGTAGGGGCCTAGATGGCTGCCCTGTGGTACTCCAGAAGTAACCTTAACAGGTGAACAGAAGGAGTTTTTGAAGAGGACTCTTTGAGACCTAGAACAAAGGTAGCTAGAAATCCATCTCAAAAGATTAGGCGGAAACCCTAAAAGGTCAAGTTTTTGTACTAAAAGGGAATGGTTTACAGAATCAAATGCTTTACTAAAATCAGTGTAAATGACATCCGTCTGCAAGTTACCTTGAAAGCCTTTAATGATAAAAGAGGTAAACTCTAATAAATTTGTGGTTGTTGATCGTCGCCTTATAAATCCGTGCTGGGACGGAGATATAAGTGATTTGCAGAGATGTTGCAAGCGCGGAGTTAAAATTTTTTCAAACATTTTAGGAATAGCGGATAACTTAGATATACCCCTATAATTATTTGCATCAGACTTGCTACCTTTCTTATGGAGCGGAATAATAAAAGATTCCTTCCAGATGGGGGGGAAGCATGAAGAGTTAATGGATAGGGTGAATAGTTTAAGCAAGGGTCCACACAGAGCGTCGGAACAGTACCTGAGTACACAGCCGGGAACTCCGTCGGGACCTGGTGAAAACACCGGCTTAACTAGTCGAAGATCATGAAGCAGTGAGCTTTCATTTAACAAGGGGCTGAAGATGCCATTCGACCTTGGTAAACTGTATGGATACGGCTGACCAGAGTAGCTTTCATGAGAATAGGTTGTTTGGAAAAATTTGGCAAAAAGATCGGCAATTGCCTGATCATTGTTTGCTGACATATTGATAAAAGATAACGGGGATGGATGTACGGACGTTCTACGCTTACTATTTACGAAGCTGTAAAACTGTTTAGGGTCCTGTGAAAATCGTATCCTGCATCGAGATAGGTAGTTTTTATATCATTGAGCGTTGAGAACGGAGAAATTTGACCGAGCTATTACATAGCGAGAAAGAGAAGAGGGAAAACCAACTTCGACATTTGCTGATGATACTGCCATATTAAGGCGCTCCAAAATGGCTAGCAGACTGGCGGATACATGCAAATGAGCAAAAGTGCAAGTATGTCACCTTTACGTTAAACAGACAAACTTGCCCTCCATTATGTCTGAACAATATCAACATTCCACAAACCACCGAAGTAACATACCTTGGTGTTCATCTGGATAGAAGGCTTACTTGGCGTAAACGAAAACGAAACGAAACGACGCAAAGAGAAATCTACTTAAATTTAAAGCTAGTAATCTGTATTGGCTAATAAACACCCGTTCACCACTACAACTGGAGTACAAAGTACTTTTGTACAATGCAGTTCTCAAACCCATGTGGACATACGGCTCCGAGCTATGGGGAAATGCTTGCGTTAGTAATTTAGAAATAATCCAGAGAGCTCAATCGAAGATACTAAGAACTATCACTGGGGCACCATGGTACATACCGAATGAAAATATCCATAAAGACTTAAATGTAGGATCAGTTAAAGATGAAATTGCCAAAGTGAAAGCAAAGTACTAGGCCAAGCTTCAAGCCCATCCTAACAGACTTGCGCAGTCTTTAACTTGGCACACTAGCCATACACGACTCCGGCGAAGAGACCTCCCCACCCAGCAATAATACTTAGCTAGGGACGTACTCTAAGTTATTAAGTGTAATTAATTAAATAAATATATTAGGCTAAGATTTGTATACTTGTCGTAAGTCTCTAATGGGGAAGATTCGATAAATAAAATCCCGCAATACTAAAAAAAAAAAAAAAAAATTTTTATAATGTCTTGATTTTTAATTTTTTAGACTGGAGCCAAGGAGGCTTTCCAGATCTAACCGGACAAGAAAGTGGGACACAAGAATCAAAAAATGTGTCAAGTACATTGTAAAAAATGTTTGTGCCTTTCATAACGTCAGTGCACAAGTACAGAGCGGACCAATCAAAATCACTAATGAGGTTATTAAGCTTCGTAAACTCGGTCTTATGAAAGCAGCGTACACGTTCAGATAGGCTACCCGTTCGATCCAATGCAGTAGGCCCAATATCGACCAACACCTCGAATG